TGGTAATCAACAGGGAATCTTCTCCTATATTAATATAGTTTTTCTATGGTCAGTGTTTCTGGCATATTTCACACAAGTCCTAAAGTTTTTTCAGTGACAAAAATTGCAGATACAATATCAAAGATGAAATGCCATAGCAAAATATCACTGACATTGCAGTCACTGCTGTTTAGTTCAGGACTGTCCAGAAATAAAACTCCATAGAGCAAAGGATCATAATCACACAAATATGAGAAACAGTGACTTTGAAGAGTGACTTTGAAGTGACTTTAAAGATGGATAATGTATAATAGACAATAAGATGAATGTGGCAGCAAGTGTGAATCACTTATATGTAAACAGGAAAATCTTAGGCAAATAGCTGGTGTAATTTTGGCAGAAACAGTTACTTATACTAGGTGCTGCTCTAAAATATGTACTTCAAAATGGAAAATTCTTTATGAATGTTTGGGCTGCTTGAGATACTGTCTAACAGCTAGTTTAAGCCAACCTTAAATCAGATGTATTTTCAAGGATGTAACATGGCAAACTAGATTTTCACTAACTTTTTTTTTCTGGAATTATTCTCCAATTCATGTTTCTTTCTAGGATCAAAAATGCAGAAATACAGCAAGTCAGTCAATTTTTACACTATTTATGCTGCAGTTGTTGAAAGAAAGTGTTGGCTTGATCTTGTAAGATTTTTAGTCCAACATTTTGTGAAATATCTTCTTATGGGGGAAGGGCCAGATATAAAACAAAAGCTTCTACCAGTTGAAAAATGCTAGACACTGAAAGATTTTTCAGTAAAACTGTAAAACTGTAGTCTGTATTCAATTCAGCTGCAGAAATGTTTGTATTGTAGTCATCTGTTCTGTTGCATTTCCCTAGGTTAGTAAGTCAGTAAGTTCAGAAAAGTGAGTACTTTGTTCCATTACTTTATTTTTTTAGCAAAGAAAAGTTGATATGCAATCAACTGAATTAGGTTCTGCAAAAGATCACAGAATATAATAACAGAAACACTGGCAGTTTTTGATAGCCACAAAATATTGTACATTCATAAGTATCATGTATCAGTTTTATTTCAAAGGAGTGAACAGTTAACTTTTGTCAGCATCATTACCATCTATAGGGAAAGCTTTGACCTATACATTCACTGTAGAACCTTCAAATTACTTTATTTTTCTTTATAATAGTGCATGGGTATTGAGATTTTAACTTTATTAAATTTTTAAAATTTGTGAGTTGGCAAATAGCTTATATGTAGGCATTTCAAAATGCCTAACCTCGATCCTTTCCCAAAATGCTATCCCAGCAGCCATTCTATCTGCTCCCTGTTTCTGAAGACTTGATGGGCTTATGATAACAAGATTTCTGTGTGGTCTTCTTACTTGGCATGGCACTGGGTAGATTTTATTGGACAAAGGTGATTTCCTAATCACAGCAGTGGAAGGAGTTACAAAGGAGCCTGCCTTTTAAAGGGGCAGAGGACATTATATATTTCTCTAATGAAGGGCTTTTTACAATGTATCTAAGCTGGGAAGCAAAGCCTCCATTCATCATGGAAATCTTAAAAGTCTGACCTTGTCCTTTCCATATTGCTGTGAAGAAGGTAGGCAGTCAGACAGATGCAACAATTTTTCAGCTAAGTTTTGTTCTGAACCCCAAAAGTTCCTAAAAAACAGGAATATGCAGTGTCTCATGGGTTAAGACGGGTGACTTAGACTTCTGCTTATAGCAGCTGGATAGAATAGGAGACTGGTCAGCATCTTTTGGGCCCAGAATTTTTTAATCCAGAATATTTTCAAAGACAAATTTCTGAAGAGGCTAAATGCTGTATGTCAAACTTGGCTAGTATTCATTTTCTGTTTGGCAGCAACCTGGAAAGATATTTCCAGCTCCCAAATAGAGATTTTTCCTATATTCATTTTATTACAATTCTAAAATGTCTGCATTAGAGGTGCAATTGGTTACTTTTTATTTTTTTCTTAGAGTTCATTATTTATTTTTATTCTAAATGGGATTGGTAACACTATTGAGAGTTAAGTTAATGGCCATGATCTTCCCATTATAAGGGTGCTTCCCTTTGTTTTTAAATCAGTAAAGCTTCACTTCTTTGAACATTGATTTTGCCATGCAGAATGTACCTGGGTCTGAATATTTATAATAAAGAGCTCTATAATACAGTTTCAGCAAAACTGGGCAAGACATTCCTAAAGATGACATTAACAAAAAATACATTTGATCATAAAAAATGCACCTTACATCTGTTTTGTTGATAAGCTTTGCTTTTTCTCCCTGCTGTTGAGCAAAGTCTTGAAATTTGGCATAGAGGTCATTGTGGTGTCACTGTATTCCTGTTGCTGTTCTTCTGAAAAAAAGACCTGGATGTGGCTAAGTTGTAAGCCCTTGCAAAGATTCGGTTTCCATATTAGCTCACAGTCACATCAACTTTTGGCAGAAAAATCCATTTGAGGGTGCTGAGTGCTTTGAGCATTTCCAGTTCGGGAACAATGCTGGACTTTCTGCAGCTTTTGCTACCAGATCTTGAGGTCCTCTTTGGATTTAACTAGAGAAAAATGACTTCTTGACTCATTTCTTCATCAAATAGGCAAGTTAGGGGAAAATCTGTTGGTTTTTAAAACAGTGGGAACAAGGAATTTCTTCTGAGAAGTAGAAGAATGGTAAAAACCTTTGATAAAGAAGAACACATTACTGGTACACATTATACTGTTAAAAATATAATGTAATGATATTTGATTTATTAATGGAAATGACACAGCTTTAGAAAATGGAAGTTGAGTGAGGAAGTAGTTTAGGTTTCTTTAGAGGCTTTCTGTGAGTGGCGCTATTAATTTATGTAGAGAAGCTGGTATGACAGTGTGCAGGAACTCTAAACATTAGCCTGAGAAAGGAGAGTTCCCTGTTTTTGTCTGAGCAACACAGTGTAAATTATTTTTGCTTTTCTCCCTATCGACTTACAAACTTACCCAGAGCGCATTATAGCTGCATGGGACTTGCTCCTTCTCATGTAAAAAATATTCCACTGATGCCAAATTATATCCTCAATTGCACTTTTGCCTTGAGTCAGTCTGTACAGGTGTGCAACTTTAATAAACAAATGTAGCTCTAATAGAAGGCTAGAATTTATTTCTCATGCTCTCTTAACTTTATAGCTCCTCAAAAAATTCTTCTTTAGTTTCCAAAATGAGTAGGTTGGCCCTGGATAAACGTGTTGCTGGTGTTTTAATAATGAACTTAACACTTGTTTTTACAGATTTTCATATTGGTATTTTCAAACATTTTTTAAAATTACTTATTCTTTCTGCCCTTTGAAGGTGAATCTGCAATCCAGTATTCATCAGTCTTCAATTAATTCAGTGAAACATTTTTTTACAGACTAAGAAAAAATGAGTTTGTATTACTAAGTATATGTATTTTCAAAAATTTCATGACATTTTTGCAGTTATTCATATTTCTTCAGATTATCACTCAGAATTTTATATTTGGATTACACAAGAAAATCCTTCTGGTCAATTCTTGTACCTATAGAAGAAAGTGCTTTTATTAACCCTCTGCATGAAGAATGACAGATTTTGGCCTTTGACATTTTTGTAGTTGATTATGTAGACTACATAAATCTACAGTAGTTTATCCCCACAGATACATTATGTCCTCATAAGATCTCAGTGAGCTACATAAAATAACTTTAATTATTGGTTGAGCTACAATCTCAAGTATTGTGAATTAGTAATGGTTTTTCATAGGGGTGCTCTAGACTCCTGCTACATATGTTCTGTGCACTGAATTTGAGGATGAAGCTGCTGTGGTGTACTTTCCTACCTAGTAATCAATACCAAACTCAAACTTACGTGAAAGATCATCACAGTTTTAATCACAATGCTAAAAGCTTCTGCCCTAAAAAAGATTGAAGCCTCTGGTAGGACTTCCCACTTGCTATGCTCTAGTGATAAAATTACCTGGGAAAAATATTGTAATTGTTCACCATAAGTTGAAAGAGTTATCAAAAATCTTCCTCTTTCTTTATGTCTTTCTGTCTTTCCCCCTGGCATTAAAGCATTACTGCATGCATTGCATCTTTGAGAGAAAACCAAAATTCCAGAAAAAAAAATTTAAGAACAACTTTCTTGCTCAATCAGCACTTTGTGTTGGACTCCAATATGAGTAAGTTGGTGGTACCAGTTAAAAGTGAGACCTGATACACCATGCTTAGGTTTGCACTCCATGCTTAGGAGGTGTTGTAAAAAACCCAAATCAGTTGTGGAGCCTGAATGTTCAAATATCTTTGTAGGCTCCCTGAAATGACCATATAAAGAAAATACTTCATAAAAGTGAATAAGATTTTTCTTCTATGTTTTCTCCTTTGAACACTGAAGAAAGAAATAATTCCCAAAAAAGCTTCACAGATGTTTAAATAGTATAGCCAGATTCCTATGTAGAGTAGTCCTGAAGGAACTTGTCAAAAAATTTCACTTGAATCCCTACTGTGCAATAGTTTGAGATTCTTTTCATAGAGACATCTTTAGTAGATATTTTGTCTGAGATTTCAACATTGATGTTGTAGTATCTTGAAAACATCAGACAGCAGTTTTAGGTAGTTTTCCTTTTATACTTAGACAGTGACCAGTTAAAGGATATGAGCATGAAATTATAGTTTCAGGTGTGCTTTTTACTGTGCTTGAGGAAATTCACTGCTGCCTTTCCTAACTCTCAGTTGTAGATAACTGTCTTTGTTTTTCTTGCATGGCAGCATGAGCCTGTTTGCACAGGTTGTGCAGCAGAGTACACAGGGAGTGTGTGCTTGCACCAAACAGGCATTTACCCTTTGAGTGTTTGAGGTCATTTTACACTGTGCTATTCTGAGCCCTGATCTTCCCCCAGCCCTGTCCTGGCCTCTCTCCTCCACTCTCTCCTTACCATCTTTGATTCTGGCAACAAAAGTTCATTCCATAGCTCAGGTCAGACAGAAATGATGCATTGCATCACAGCTGCTTTTATGAAAGTGTTTATTTCATATCTGAAATGTTTTTATATACATTTGCTCTGCTATGACTTGCAGGAGGAGAAAGAAAGCAGTTTTACTGGAGGCAAAACAGCCACCTGTGAAAACTAATTGCGTAGGTTGTGTTGTGCTGATATATCTGGGAATGATCCATCAGGAAGAAAGTAAATATCCTTAATCTGTTAGGAGATCACCTATATGCCAAAATGATCTTCTTTATCAAAGTGGTGATTGAAATATCCCTTCAGATTTGCAATGGTATGTGTAAGGGGGGGAAGGAAGCATAACTCCTGTAGAGGCAGGTGCCTCATCTCAGCAAAGTGTATAGACAAATGAAAAATTATGAACTTGAGAGGCTCTGACTAAATTGTCTCATTAAGGACTGTAATTTAATATGCTTGGAATCCATTTACTTTCAAAGAAGAATTTCAAGAGACCAGGCTGCTCTTCAGGTTTGTTTTTTTTTCCCTTCCGATGAGGCTTGCAGTGTCAAATTATGCCCCTCTCCTAAGTATGAGTGAGAGTTCCCAAAAGTTCTGCTCTTCATCAGCTTTCCAAAACACACAGAGTAGACTTAAAAAGAAAAATGGGTTAAGAAAATGCAGAGCTCTAAGGCACTGCCTGCCACCTCTGGGTGTGTTGTGCATGCAATCGTGTAAAAGCCTGCCATGGAAAACTTAAAAAAAAATTGGGGCATTTCTTTAAGGCATGGACAGGAAAAACTGCTTTGTCTCTGCAATGTGCTGTGCTCCTCAGTGGCTGCTGAGAACTTGCTGAGAACTTCTAGGTCTCCCACCTCCGTTGACTGCAGTGGCTCGGGGTCTGTGCCCAAGTGCCTCAGGCTTGATTCTCTGCTCCTGCATTACAGGACAAGGTGGTGACTGGGCTTGTGTCAGCCTTCTGAGGGTATGAGGACTTGTACCCAGGATTCTGCTTGACTTACTGAAACACCAAAGGCCAGAGTGTTCACCAGACAGGATTATTTCAGTCCAGTCTGGCTGTGTCTTCATTGTATGATAAGATGACTTTCCCTTATTGTTAAACTTTTGGTTTCACTGTATCATAGAGACAGACCAGTTGAAGAAATGACTTGCTCTGTAAAAGGGCAAAAACTTGCTGCTAACCCCATTCCTGTGATTTGTGACCACTGAGTAGAGTTTTCAGACAGCTTTCCATCCTTATTTTTGCATTTTTGGGTTGTGAGCAAACAAACATTATCATGGTGAAAATGATAATTAGCCTGCTTTTTGGCCTGCTTATGTGAATGGGATATTTGACTGATACTTCACTACAGCTTAATACTTGTAATATGTACTCAGTGACAGTAAAATACATTACAGCAAATTGTAAGTGCAAAACCATTTTGTAGCTCTGTGTTTTAAGCAAAATATGAAATCATGTTTCCGTCACCATTTCCTTAATCTTAAATTCAATCTAATGAAGTTAAGGTTGGAATATGGGAGATAAAGCCCCCACCAGCTGATAAAGAAAAAGAAAAGAATCAAAGGGCTGGGCTCATCATGTGGCATGCCTCTAACAGTTAAAAGCTGAGAATTACAGAGTATTCAGTAAGAGAATACAGTCTTTGTATGAAATGAAAATCTTGAATACAATTCTGATAGAAATGAGCAACTAGAGGAGCCAAAACTTCAGAGATCTTGAAATCTGAAATTGAATCCTAGTATTATGCCTCTAATTAAATAAATTTTATCTTTGGGATTCACAACAGTGGATATAAGTAAGTAGTAAGAGGGAGATGTCAAAATGACAGAATGTATAATATATTGAGATATTTCATAGCAAAGGAGACCAAATGAAGTCATGGAACTAGTTGTTAGTGAAACAGTTCACTAAAAATGCACATTTTTCAGAGATGAATTTGCCTTATATATATACCAGACTCAGAGGAAGTGAGGCTTATATGGCACAACACTCAGCTTAAATGGATTTTGAGACAATGCTGTAATACTAATGCCAGCTTCTTGCTTTGCATCCTGGATATTCACATTTCCAAAAGATTTACATTAAGTGCTTGGATTTAATTTGTGAGTCATGAGTCATGTTTTTGCTTAGCTTGTACATAGCGTAGCTATTGTACTATGCTTTTCCCAAGAATAAGTGACATTACTCTGAAAAACATGCACTGTAATTTGATCTCTGATACTGTGAGGTAGGTGTATCTTTATTCTAGGATTTAGAATAATATACACTACAAACCTAATTCCACCAGGTGGAAGGGTCCCAATATCTGAATGACAAAAAAGATACCTCTCCTCCAAATTCAAGAAACCATGCATTACTTTGGTTACTCTGCCTTGAAATTTAAATGAGTGGCAGTTTTAACCTATCTTGGTTATTATTGGATCGCTGCTTTTCTAACTTCTGTGATTTGACATTATTTTTCATTTTATGGTCATATCTGCTTCTTCAAGTGAATAGAAATTGCTGTCATAGATGCAACTTTATATCCTCTCTGGTTAGACTAGGGAGGAGACAGAACGGCCTCTTGATAAAAGTCTCAGATGCTGGAGGGGAGGAGATGTTGCTAATGCCAAAGAAATTTGAGAAACACACACCTGTTGTTATTTCAGAGTGCCATGCTTCTGCTGGTAATTGGCTGAGGGTTAAAGTTCTGTGTGATTTAACTCTAATTCATAATTCTGCAACAGATAGACACTAGGGTGAACAAGGACAAGTCAAAAGCTGAGATGTTACTGACTGTTGGATTGACTTTGGAAATTGGCAGTGGTCCTCCAAATTAAAAGGAGTCCCTGGATTTTTTCAGGCAGATACTGGCACACATCTCCAGAGACAGACATTTGAGCCAAAGGGACTGCATTTCAACCCCATCTGCTTTTGTCACCAGGCCATCCTGACATGCTTACTTTGTCAGCTAGAGAGTTTTTTTCTTCCAAGTCTGTCTGTGTTGTGAGAATTCCTGGCTTCCTCAAGTATTCTGGGCAGCTGTGTTGGGCCTGAGGCTCTAGCTCAGTGTTAAAGCTAGTTTTTCTACAATACTCCCATTGGTTTGTATCTTGCATCACTGCTTCTTTTGGTTTAGACACAAAGATACTACCTAAAAGTGATCAAAATCAGTAGAATTTGGCTTTGTGAAAATTACTGTTAACTTCATCACTTTTTTTTTTTTCTGTTGTAAGGATGCCAGAGATACTCTTCAGCATCTCCTCCTTTCTTCAGTTTCCACTCTTCTTAGTGGCTATTCTCCACGAAGTCCAGAAGACTTTCCTAAAAATAGAATCATAGAATGGTTTGATTTGGAAGGGGATCATAATTTCATTCCAAATCCCCTACCATGACCAGGGATAACTTCAACTAGACCAGGTTGCTCAGAGCCCTATCCAACATGGCCTTGAACACTGCCAGGGATGAGGCATCCACGGCCTCCTCTGGCAATCAAAGTCTCACCATCCTCACAGCAAAGAATTTGTTTCTAATGCCTAAATTAAACATAACATTATCTTGAACCCATTACCCCTTATCCTGTCACTACATTCTCTTGTAAACAGTCTTGCTCCATCTTTCCTGTAAATTCGCTTCAGGTACTAGGCGGCCACCATTCGGTCACCTCAAAGCCTTCTGTTCTCCAGACTGTAAAATGAAAATTCTCTCAGCTTTTCCCCATACAAGAGGTGCTTCCTCCTTCTGATCAACTTGGTGGCCTCCACTGGACTCTCTCCAACAGGTCCATGTCCTTCCTGTGCTGGGAGGCCCAGCAGAGAACCCCAGAGCTGGATGCAGGGTTCCAGGTGGGGTCTCACTGGAATAGAGCAGAGGGGCAGAATCCCCTCCCTGGCCCTGCTGCCCACGCTGCTCTGGATGCAGCCCAGGACACGTTTGGCTTTCTGGGCTGGGAGTGCCCATGGCTGGGTCATGTCCAGCCTCTCCTCCAACAGTACCAAGTCTTTCTCCCCAGGGCTGCTCTGATCTGTTCATCCCCAGCCTGTGTTGACGCCAGGTATAGCACCACTTAGTACCTTTGGGATATTTCTCTGGGATATTTCATACAGGCAAAAAAACCTGCAAAAGAAACCCCCAAAAAGCCCTGCAGGGAAAGGGCTGCCTGTTTTTTCTTCACTTAGTCTGACTCAGTTTGAACCCTAACTGCACCCATGCAGCTTATGAGCTTGACAAACCTGCAAACTTTTGAAGTAGAAAATCAATTTTGTTCTTTTTTTTCTTTTTATCGTCACTGCATTTCACTTTGCAAATTATTTGAACATTTATAGTATTATTCATGCTGTTGAGTATATCAGATGAGAAGCTGACAAGTCTGTGTATTGGTTTGGGTGAAATTTTCAGGGAGAGAAATATTTATGAAAAATATACTGCTTAGGAATCAGTTAAATTTTTTTTTTTCAATTTTGAATTTTTTAGTAATTAAATGAATACACATTTTCTTCTTAGACATATTAGGAGTTTTGTTTTCATTCCATACATCTAACTGTAAATACCTAGATGGTTTGTGTTCAGCTCTACCAGACTCAATTCTCTTTTTCATCTGTTTCTTAAAAAAATATTTTGAAATGTAGTTTTCAGAGTGGGGTTTGGTCAGTGAAACTACTGTAGCAGTTTTTTAAAAATGTAGTTGCTGCAGGAGGCCTGAATGGACACCACTCTGCGCCCCTCTGGATCTCAGAAGCACTCTGCAGAGGTGAGGATCCAACCTGTGCCTGTAACCCCTGGAAATTAATGCAGGTGCAAGCCTTGCTGAGCTTATGACATTTGTTTGCATACCATTTGCAGCAACCTGAATGACTGGTTATTCTGGTCTGGAGAAAACAGCGCTGACATCATGTGATTCTGGCAAAGTGAGCCACACTGGATCCTGGCCTTTGAATACCCAAGGGGCTGGCAGCAGTCTCAGGAGTTGGCCGGCAGCCCCATTGAGCTCGCTAGTAATCAGTTGACTGCTGGGCTGGACAAGCTGCCCTACTTTCTCTGACAAGCTCTGTCTAAGAGAATGACGGGCAGCCTGCCACCAGTGCTCTTTAGTGGAGTTACTGAAGATTAACTGTTTAGCAGCTCAGCCCTGACAGTGCTTCCCTTTGAAGAATGGGTGCCAGAGAGGACTTTGTTGACTAGGGATGCCACTTCTTTTTCTCACTTGTTGCATATTTTAGTCTTAAGGAGCAGGAGTTTCCTTTTCTTGTTTGGTTTTTTTGCTTCCCTAGTGCCTTTCTTGCCAATTTTCAGAGAAATGCCATTAGATTTGTTTTCCTTTGAAGTTTCTAAGGTTTATTTCATTTTTAGTGAAATGTTGCATTCTACTAGTTACTCAGCATTGCTAAGTTCCTACACTGCAGAAATTCCTGAAGGAAAGATAGATAAAGTAAAAGTCAACTCTTTGAAAGGCCCAGAACATTCAGTATTTATTGTGACAGACAAACTCACATGTATTACTTTCAATAAAAATTTTGATGTGTTCTCCATGGGGAAAAAAAAAAAGTGGGATATTTAGCATAGAGGGAGAGTTATATTTGTGAATAGTTTTGAAAATGTGATTGTCGTGAACAGAAGACTGACTGTTGACTATCAGAAGTGTAATGAATAAGTCTTAAATTTAAACAAGAGACCTATTTATGAGGTGAGTTGGTGGAAATACAGTTACAGTACTGTCTGACAAAAAAGAAAGAAGTGCTAAAATTAGATCTGTATAATAGATATTTTTTCATTGGCTATTTTGTATAGTATTTTGCTTGATAGTGACGTTTTTTCAAGACACATTTGTCTTAAAATCAATAATAATATAGAACAAGCCACTGACATTAATAGATAAATTTCTAAATTAAAAAAAAAGGAGTGTCCTGTCTTACTATTATGATTCAGAGGAGTTAATCCAAATACTTCTGAAGGGGGTGGAAATTTTTATGACATTTCCATCTCTGACAATTATGAGAAACATAAAAGCTTATTATTTTGTGTCTTTGTATTTCATCTATTACATGTGTAGACACAGTGTCAAATCTGTATATGTCATGTACACTGGCATAATTTTGCATTTCTTGCAATACAAGTTAGCTGGTTCTTCAGATTGGCTGTATTTTAAAATTATTTTCCTACCTCTTACAGGCAGAGAAATTAAAAAATAAAATGGCATTCTGAGGATAACTTTGGAAGATTTCAATTTAAATATTTTGGAAAACTCCATTTATGTTTCACTTTCCTATCCTCTGCTGTGAAAATAATACTTGGACTCCACTGGTTTATAAGACATAGCCTTCAACAGTCCAGCCAGTAAGTGGCAGTTTGGGAACTGCTTTAGACCACTTAAAATGAATGTATTTTGATGCTTCTTTCAGAATTATTTCTCCTCTTATTTTCTAAAACTTTAAGTAACCTTGTTCTTAAACCTCTTTGGTTTAGGTCATAATTAGTTCAAATGTCTGCCTGACAGACAATGGCTGATCAGTGGACTGACCAGTCATTGTAAATAACTTCTAGTACGAACACCTATTCACTTTGAAGGGTTCGGGCATGGCAAAAAATTTTAGTGACAGCATTTTTAATTAAAAGGAAGAATGCAAAACTGTTTAAATACCGTACATTTATAGTAGCTAGTCTTTTTAGTGCCATTCACTATGAATGAAAAAGCACCCTGTTCATACAGAGGTAAGATATACACGTGCACTAAAGCTTTTAATTTACTTCAATCTTAATCATATTACACATTGTCAAGATACTTTGGATGGATATTAATAGTCAGATATGGAAAGAGGACTTCTTACTTACTCAGATAAACTTTCCTGTGTGGTGTATCTTTATGGGGAACGGTAGTATTCTAGAAACTCATGAAGACTTATCATCCTCTAATTTATATGGTCCTATAATATATTCCTCTGTAATTCAAAAAGAAAAATTAATTCTGTATTGCAGCATAAGTGCTGATATGCAATGTATTTTAGTTATAGATTTCTGATTCACAAGACACAATTGTACTCAATTAAAGAAAGTTGCCTACAAGCTAATTTCTTTGCCAGTGTAATTCTGAGGAATTATCACTTGAATTCTCTCAGAACAATTTTTTTGTGATTATGATGGAGGTGTCTGTACATCATGGCAGAAACATGCTATTTATGTCTGCATTACTCAAAATCTGGTCTTAGACAAATTAGAGTAGATCATTGCAGGAAGGTTTCTTCAGCAATTTAGATTATTTTATCATTTTCTCTCCTTTCTTAAAGATTATTAAGCCAGAAAAAAATACAGTGTTTCAGTGATATATACTACTAAATGAATTTTCATGGTAGGAGGGGAAAGAAAAGGAAGAAAATATAACATGGAAATTATATTTAATTTTTCTTATGAAAAAAAATTATCAAAAATATATGTTCATACCCATGATAATGCTAAAACTTGCTACCATTGACTGCAACTCTGTGGTCTACATTTTGCAGTGAGGGAAGAGCCTGTTGGACTAGTCTGAGGAGAAATCACCTGTAATAGCTAATTTTATTAGATATTCCCTGATTTCAGATATTTGCAAATATTGGAGGTATTCCTCAGCGATTTGCAAAGCCTCAATGAATTTCTGAACATGATGGTTTATAGACTTTTCAATTGCCTTATTTAAGCACTTCAGCAGGAAAGAGTATTTCAGATAGAATTTAAACATTTTCTAGAAATGCTTAAATTCCTTTTTTCCTCTATTTTTTATTGAACAATGAATTATATAAAATAAATTCCCATGGATAAAAATTATGTTGTAAGGTCTTTGACTGATACAGAATAATTGCTTTGTTGATTGTATATCCATGCATGATAAGATATGCATAAGAAGAAATCTGGTACAGAAGTATAAATAATACTTATCTTTAAGCCAGCATCTGTCATCTGCTTCAGCAGACAGTGTTTTCTTTCATTCCTGCATAAAAAGAGCTGAGAGATTTATGGAGCAGCTTTGTTTGTGCTCTGTGATGCTTAATCAATTTTTATTAAATTCTAAATTAAAACTTGGCTTTCTTCATAGTCTTTTTTTTTTTTTTCCTACATGCAGACATATCTGATGTATAGAGCAAGAGAAAGGCTCATGACAGCCACAGAATTTATGTGAAGGTGGGAGGACTTCAGTCCTGAACTCCTGAACACTTGGTTTTCAGAGGGGCCACTCTCAGTCACTTTTTAGAAGCTACACTGTTATTTCTGTGGCATTCATAAATATGACAGAACAACCTTGAAGCGATTAATATCTGGACTCCCTGGTTAGTATAATTATTATTGATCTTTGCAAGAAATCTGTAAAGGATTTTTTTTTTATTAATTTGCAGATGGTATGAATGGTTCTGTTAATCAAACTATACTTAAAGTTGGCTTTCATCTTTTCATCAGTTTAAAACATTAGTTAGTTCACATTATGCACTGAGATATGTAAATAAGTGGTGTTATCTCCATTTTACAGATGAAGAAATTAAGGTAGAAGTTCAAAGTCAGTTAATCAGGGTCACATCTCTTGAAAGAGGCAGAATATAGGCTACAGGAGTGCTCCAGTCCTTGTCTCAAATCATAATTCTAATTACTTTAATAAAGAATAGACACTTATATATACAAATTTTATTTTCAAAGTTTAGATGTATGAAATAAATGACTGCTCTGAGCCAAAAAAGAATATCTTAAAATTTAGTAGTTTGCTAGTTTGTTCCAATGCTTTGTTATTCTTGCTGGTGCTAAATTGGGGTTGCTTAACTTCATTGTAAAGTTCTTGCTGTGCCATTCATGTAAAATTGACGACCTCTTTATGATCTGTTATTTTTTCCCTATCAAGGTACTTACACATGCCAATTAAAACACCTTTTTCCTTTTTTTTTTTTTTGAAGAAGCCTAGGATTTAGTCTGTAAATTCCAATTCAGATTTATTTCTTAATCCTTCTAAAATAAGAAGACAAAATGGTGCTTCTTCCATTTTCCATTTTTTTTATAGAGCAACAACATGTTTTGTCCTGGATTGTGGCTGGGAACTTGTATCGCAGTTTCATGACTGAAGCCTTTCAGTAACAGGTTTTGGGAATACAGCCATCCATTCTTGTTTTTTCTGTCTGAAAACTCATAAGAAAGAAATGAAAAGGAACCATCTACTCAGTATACTCAAAGGGTTTTTAATAGATAATAAAAAACTTTGCCAGTTTGTTGTCTTCAAGAAAGTTTGAAAAATAGAAACATAAAAAGAAATATTTTTGTTTACCTTAACATCTCTGCTTTCAGATAGATTAGCTTGTGTCTTCTACACAGGCTCTGCTATGCACCAGTCTGTCTTTAAGATTGCTTCTTGTCCTCACTCTTCTGAGCAGTGACTCACTAATGACAGTGTGCTGAAACGCAAATCTCTCAATCCTCAAAGCTGCTTTAAAAGACGTTTAAGAAACACAGCAGAAATACAGAATTCACAGTAATGTGAATTCAGTGTGGGTGAATGTATCAATTTCCTTTGCTGGGCTTTTTTAGAGAATCTGAGAAAATAATTTTGGTAATAACTTTTAGAAGAGCAGAATACAGTCTTCAGAGTTTTTGTAGCTCAGCTCCTAACCAAAGAGATGTCAGTTCCTTTTTTGTTTGTGTCCTTTTGCCTTTTTATCCACTCAAAACACTGCTTGTTATCTATTCTGAACACATTGGTTCTGTGTCCAGTGCAGCAGCAGCAGCAACATGGAAAAAAAGCATGAAAAAGAGGAGCTGAGAAACTGGAAGAACTTAGAAAGGAAGACAAATAAAGAGAAGTGTCACAGAAAATTTAAAATGAAAACCGGATGTGGACATGATGTAGAAGAGGGCTTTCATGATACAGTGCAACTGTCTCTGTAGCTGCCCAGCTTTTATGTGTATTGCTGTTTGCCAATGTTCTTTTTTTTTTTTTTTTTTTTTTTTTTTTTTTTGACATGTACATGACACAGATCTAGTTAGTTTGTGCCTATTTCATGTGGAGTAAATTTAGACTAGATGAACTGAGTTTTTGGAGCCACTGCCAAATGAGGTGGTGATGATGGCTAGAGAGGTTTGGAGTTTGGGAATGCTTCTTACTGGAACACAGCACATACTGCATCATGCCTTTGACCGTGATGCTTTAGACATGCTGCCAAGTGTTTCTAACAAGATAGTGCTGTTACTGTGTTTTAATTTTCCTGTTGCATAGAGTACATTTCCTTTTTTGTTTTATAAACTGTGCTCTCCATTAGTTTTTGTACCTCTGTAAACAGTTCTGACTATCTGATATGTTGGAAAAGTATAAGGGAATTTCATGCAGATTACTCATTTTTATATGACGTTATGCACTCCATACAGTTTTGGTAACATGGTCAGTTTGAGTCCCTAAAATATGCTAAAGACATGAATAGAATTTTACTGTTAGATGTTAGCAAAAAAAAAAAAAAAACCCAAACCAAAACAAAACAAAGGGGCATTACTTATATCTTTTAAATGAGCAAAATGACAATTATCAGTATGAGACTCAGAGGATATATAATGATGTAACTTAACAACAGTTACATCAAGATTTTCTAAGAAAAACAAGAGTATGGTCTTCTGCTTTATGTAGGGAGAACTAGAGTACTTTTTTCACAACATTCAAAACCTCTAAAATTTAATAAATGTTATGGAAATATCAAAAAGTATACCATTTAAATCTACAAACTACCCATATGTTTATAGATTGAAATTTTATCTCTTCAACAGGAGAACAACTACATTATGTTTACATTTGGAAATGGTCATATAAAACACCACTGAGTCTATGCTATAACTTCTCAAGTTAGAAAATATACAGCCATATCATTCAGTAAGGTTAAAAAGGTTATAATGCATTTTAGCTGAACTATTATTTAAATCTTTTAGTATTTTCATTTTTTTTTTGCTTTTTAATGCCGTTCTCTAACAGACTGTGTAACTGGCATCTCCATTTGAACAGCAAAGTTCCCCCTAACTGAATGAGGTCACTGTCCTGTATCCTACCCATGTAATCATTATGTGGTAGTAATGGTTGGGCAGGATCTTGCAGTCACCATAGGTACCTTTGAGAAGATAAGATTATATTAATTGTGAATGTTTGTAACTGCAGAGGTTTGTTATACTCAGCTTGAGGTATTTCTGAGATACTGAGCTTTGGAAATACTAAATATTTTAAATTTCACTGTTAAGTATTTGTCACTGTCCACCTTAGAGGCAGCTGCATATCTGTGGTGAATAACATGATTGCTAGTGGTATAAAACAATAGCAAAGTTTTCAGTACCTTTTTTTGTAGGAATTTTTAAAATGCTGTGGTGTTTGCCCAGTAGCATACCATATCAGCATGCAGTACCACAGCTCTTGTAATGTTAATCTGGTCATCCACATCATAAGCAGTTTTGTTGGCTAGTAAGAATAGCATGGGCAACACTGTGTGATGTGGTTTTGGCAGCACTTCCGTTGTTCCTTCATGCTTGTGCTTTCAGTAAAAGGTATCTGTTAACTCTGAAAAAAAAAGGCTAACCAGTAAGTGAAAATTGACTTCTTGTGGCTTGGCTACCTTAGTTTCTATTGTGAATAACCTTCCTATATTTCTGTTTGCAAGAGTGGTTTTCCACTCAGAAGGGTTACTGAGTCACCTTCTCAGCCTGTAGAACTTCTGTCTTTCTCCCCAACAACATGGCTTTGACAGGTCAGTTCAGTGCTGTGCTATTGTAGCAGTAGAAAAACTGTTCCCCACAAGTGATTTCCTGCTGGTGAGTAAATGTTATTGCAGAGCTGGAGATTAGGATTTGAAAAGTTAAGGACCAGGAGCTCTCTCTCAAGCAAAGCGTTTATCTGCACACCCTTGCTGTTTCTGTTTATCTGCTTCTTTTCTGGGTGGGCTTTTTTTTTTTCTTCTTCTGGTAAAAGAGTGAAGAATAGGTACTGAGTTCCAAAGCATGACTCATGGGACCACAATGAAGTATTAGGATACAGCCACTTCCTACCTTTGTTTGAAATCAACCGAATGGCTCTGGCGGATGCGGCCCTCGGCTGCAGGGCTTGGTGGAAGGAAATGCTTTTCATCTTTATGGAGTATGGAAAGTTGCTCACTGATTACTTTGTGCATCACATGTAGCAAGCATGTAAAAGGCTTTGCTGTGTGTTGCTATATACCTCATAGCCACCTGTGGCTTTGAGGTTTTTCTGACTTCAGGAAAAATATTTGCCAAGTAGCTAGAAAAGTGTGGTAAGGGAGCTGAGATAATGAAATCTAAGAGCACTGTCGACTTGCACTCTTTCTGAGGCTGTTTTACAGGTGTGAGTAAAACAACCAACTCTTCTTTGAATCTCAGAAACATGATAACAACAAAATAAAACTAAGAGCAGAAAAAAGTTATTTTCTTGCCTGAAGTGTTGCTGGGGATTCAATGGCTGCTCTGCAAATAGGCTGTATGACTTCATGCTCCTATTTTTCTGGTCTGAGCACTTAACTCCACTTAAAGGGGTGTGTCATAATCTCTGAAAAGACAGCACATTTGCATGTAGTAAGAGTAAATGCCTTAAAAGCCCCCACTTTTAGGGTAGGTAACTCAATGAAGGACTAAAAAGAACAATGGAAGTACTGAAAGAAAAACAATGACAACTGAAAGGTTAGGTGGTTGCCATGTATTTATCTTTAAATTTGAAATTCATTGAGACTTTTTCCAATATTTTTTTCTGGGATCTTTTATATATTACTCTTGTGACCTTTTGTTTAACAACAGTAGGCATAATTTCTCAATTTTTTTCCCTTTGGTTTTGTTTTTAAACTGTGTTTAATTTGCTAGTTTAGTGGTTTCAATTACATCTCATACATTTTTTATTGGTGACCTATCATTCTTTTCTTAACTAGTGCCTTATTGCCATATGCAGTCAGTGCTAGTAAATATAGTTAAAGAAAAGGCAAAAGAGTATAATCTTGGTAATTCTCCAAAGAAGTCTTAGGAAGCAGTGTACGGACAAATGCTCCCGCTTGGAACAAAATAGAAAAGGGTCCCTGGATCATGCATTTTTCTGTATGTGTTTCTAGTTTTTGTTAAGCCAAAATTAAACACAGTAGAGTTCGGTGTTTGCTAATCACCATGTGTTTACTTTCTCTTCCAAAACTGAAGTTGCCAACCAATACATTTTCTACCCAGTGCTATGAATCTGTCCAAATATACATGGGAAGTAGTAAAACAATGGCACTATATGAAAATACGTCCTCATTCACTGCACAGAGTCCAAAAATTTTTTGAGGTTTAGCAGGAACAGAGAAATGTGGCTTATATGGGCTCTCCAGCACATGAAAAAATGATAACATAACATGAATTAAATTCTCAAGAAAAGCTTCCTGTAAGTTACAGAGATGAACATTGATTATTTTATATCATGCTCCCTCTGTAATCCCTCTGGGCTTGCGCCTTTTGTGTTTCTTATGGTTTTATGTTAATGAGGAAGGTAAGTGTCTTTCAGAGAGCAAATGATCAATTCTGACTACTGTTCCAATCATTAAAGGTTACCAATATGTCCTTCAAAATGAATTTTAAAAGGACTTTTGTGACAGATCACAGCAACAGATCACAGAAACATTGCAAAGTCAGAACCACAGAATCATCATGGAATATCCTGAGTTGGCAGAGACCCACAGCAATCTTTGAGTTCTGTCTGTACACAGGATCACCCCAGAGTCACACCATGTGCCTGAGGGTTCTGTCAAACACTTTTTAAACTCTCTCAGGCTGTGACCACTTCACTGGGGAACCTTTTCCCAATCACTCTTTGGATGAGAAGCTTTTTATAGTATCCAGCCTAAACCTCTCTTCACACGGCTTCATGATTTTTCCTTCAATCCTGTCACTATTCATAAGAGAGAAGAGCCTGCCCCTCTTCTTCCCCTCAGAAAGAAGCTATCTACTGCAATGAGGTCTCCCCTCAGTTGCTCATTCTCCAGGCTGAAGAACCAAGTGACCTCACATAGCTTCCCCTCCAGACCCTTCACTGTCTTTGTGGCCATTCTTTGGATGCTCTCTAGTAGTTTAATTTCTTTCTTGTATTGTGGTACCCAAAAATGCTTTCAGCACTCAGGGTGAGGCTGCTCCAGCTCAGAGCAGAGCAGGACAATCCCCTCCCTTGACCACCTGGCGATGCTGTGCCTGATGCACCCCAGTGCAGGGGGCCCTTCTGGCTGCCAAGACACTGCTGGCTCATGTTCAACTTTCCATTGACCAGGACAGAATCACAGAATCTTAGAATCAATTATGTTGGAAACCACCTTTGATATCATTGAGTCCAACCTATGACTCAACACCACTGCATCAGCTAAACAACGACACTGTAGGGAACAGTGACTCCATCACCTCCCTGGGAAGCCCATTCCAATGTCCAGTCTCTCTTTCTGTGGAGATTTCTAATGTCCAGCCTACACCTCCCCTGGTACAGCTTTAGACTCTGTCCTCTTATCCAACTGCTGGTTTCCTGCAAGAAGAGATTGCAGGCAACACCTCGCTACAGCCTTCTTTCAGGTAGTCACAGAGAGTGGTAAGGTCACCCCTGAGCTGCCTCTTCTCTAGGCTAAAATACCCCAGTTCCCTCAAGAAGTGCTCCTCATAGCACTTGTG